CTGCCCCCCATGCACATTAACCCTTTCAATGCACATTAACCCTTCCACTGCCCCCCATGCACATCATTAACCCTTTCACTACCTCTACGTACCCCCCCTGCACTTTAACCCCTTTCCATAAGAGGGCATTACCCTTCTCTACTCCCATGTATTCTGAGACAGGGGGTCACAGCCATGACAGGGCCTCTTCCCTCGCCCCTCACACACTCACCCAGAGTCCGCCTCTGCTTGAAGCTCTTCTCGGACGGCATCTTTCACCGCTCTCTGCGCTCCGGACTGTATGTGAGGCGACCGCCCCGGCCAGGCAAAAACAAAACACGGGCCCGTGACGTCACCCACCTACGTCACCCGACACCTCCCCGCCGCCATCTTACATGTGGCACTGGGAGGGGGGGGTGGAGCCGTCAGGCCACGTGACTCTCTGCAGAGCTGCCTGAGCACGCAAGGTGGGGTGGGAAGGATGAGGGGGAGAACTACAACTCCCGGCAGGGCAGGTCCTTGGTCCATATCACTGCCAAACATATTATATTGAAATTACTCACATTTTTAGTTTGTAACATTTTCATTGTTTTCAGATTATTTTCCTCAACATGAGCATAATTGTGTCCAGTCTGCGGCAGATGAGGCCACGAACCTAGAGATCAAAGTTAATAAAAGATTTGCCTCCTGTCGCACTACTAAGATCTAGGTCCTGGTCATGTGACGAATAAGAGGCACCAGTCACATGACCGAACAGCGGTAGTGTTCATGTGACTGGTGTAGAGCCTCTATTCATGTAGCCAAAGAAGGGTCACCAGTGGAGTGACAGGTGTGGAGGCCTTGGTCATGTGACCAAATCAAGGATACCAGTCACGTGACCGATAAAGGGACTCCTGCCAACAGTCCAATGTGGAGTCACAGGTCGCACAACCAAATTGGAGGCCTCTGTGGACAAGGAGGATCTCAATTCGTTTCCAGCCATGTGTCTCCTGTAGCCCTGAATAAGAGCCCCCCGAAACGCGTTGGCTGTTCTATGTTGTCTTGCCAAGAATCATTACACACATTAAAACACTTTGGACTCAGTCTTGTACACGTGATCGAAATATGGCAGCTATGTACTAACCTGTTTACTTCCTGGTGACTTCACCCCGCTCACGGCACATTCCTGCGTTCCCGGCGTGACTCACCTTATTATATAACTGTCCTCAGGACCGGGACACATGCTCCGCGAGGACCCAGAAACGTTATGTACAGTCAGCACTTTTCTTTTAGCTTTGGATGGAGTAGGAAAGGGTTAAAACCGTTTCCCGTGTCCCGTTATAAAGATTCCCCCTTTAGTTCCAGTCCCAGCGACACAACAGGAAGTGAGGGGGAATATGTCAGAGCTATATCAATGTATAATAATAGTGTGTGACTGTGGGGGGGAGGGGACATTAGAGTGTAAGCTCCTCTGTACAGAGACTGATGTGACTGTAGGGGGGGGCATTAGAGTGTAAGCTCCTCTGTACAGAGACTGATGTGACGGGGGCGAGGGGACATTAGAGTGTAAGCTCCTCTGTACAGAGACTGATGTGGGGGAGGGGGCATTAGAGTGTCAGCTCCCCTGTACAGAGACTGATGTGATGGGGGACGGGGACATTAGAGTGTAAGCTCCTCTGTACAGAGACTAAGGGGGGCATTAGAGTGTAAGCTCCTCTGTACAGAGACCGATGTGACTGGCTCAGTGTTCCTTGTACAGCACTGCGGTATATGTCAGCGCTATATAAATGTATAATAATAGTGTGTGGCTGTGGGGGGACATTAGAGTGTCAGCTCTTCTGGTGCACAGCCCGATGTGACTGGCTGGGTGTTCTCTGTAGAGCGCCCCCATGTGGTTCAGTACTCCATCAATATTCATTAGAGTGTAAGCTCCTCTGTACAGAGACTGATGTGACTGTAGGGGGGGGCATTAGAGTGTAAGCTCCTCTGTACAGAGACTGATGTGACGGGGGCGAGGGGACATTAGAGTGTAAGCTCCTCTGTACAGAGACTGATGTGGGGGAGGGGGCATTAGAGTGTCAGCTCCCCTGTACAGAGACTGATGTGATGGGGGACGGGGACATTAGAGTGTAAGCTCCTCTGTACAGAGACTAAGGGGGGCATTAGAGTGTAAGCTCCTCTGTACAGAGACCGATGTGACTGGCTCAGTGTTCCTTGTACAGCACTGCGGTATATGTCAGCGCTATATAAATGTATAATAATAGTGTGTGGCTGTGGGGGGACATTAGAGTGTCAGCTCTTCTGGTGCACAGCCCGATGTGACTGGCTGGGTGTTCTCTGTAGAGCGCCCCCATGTGGTTCAGTACTCCATCAATATTTACAGGTGGCGGCTCCATTGTTCGGGGTGGACGGGATTTGGAGACAATCTTGTATATTAGACATTACAGCTTCCATTATAATACAAATACACAGCCGGGTGTCGGTCTTCAGGATTCACCCGTGTGAATAATGGAGGATTTCCTGTGTATTGCTCTGCAGAGAATAAAGACGTCATTCTAATGAAATCGGTCTGAAAAGTTCCTTTTGTCAAGTTAAAGGGTCAGTCCATTCAAAGTAACATTTGAGACATCGGTGGGGTCTGGGGAGCCCCCGAAACCCGGCTACATTCTCCATAATATAATCCAGTATGCATGAGCACAGCGAGTGTACAGACCCGGGAACTCAGCACAGGGATGGTGAGAGCCCCTCATAATGGGCACAGCGGGTGTACAGACCCGGGAACTCAGCACAGGGATGGTGGGAGCTCCTCATAATGGGCACAGCGGGTGTACAGACCCGGGAACTCAGCACAGGGATGGTGGGAGCTCCTCATAATGGGCACAGCGGGTGTACAGACCCGGGAACTCAGCACAGAGATGGTGGGGGCCCCTCATAATGGGCACAGCGGGTGTACAGACCCGGGAACTCAGCACAGGGATGGTGGGAGCTCCTCATAATGGGCACAGCGGGTGTACAGACCCGGGAACTCAGCACAGGGATGGTGGGAGCCCCTCATAATGGGCACAGCGGATGAACTCCTGGAGGGGTGAAGGAGATAAACCCTAATTCCAGGAATGAGATAAATAAAACAATTATTATAATTGATCATTTTTATAATAAACAAATGATGTCCAATCAGATTATTTGTTTGCCACACTCAAGATGGAGGATTTATAATCCAAGGGGAGGTTCAGTCCTCCGCCCATAATGCCCCCCCTCCCCCACCTTGGAAAATGTCAATGACAAGTGAGACCCTTCAGCCAATCAGAGAGGTTCTTCCTGAATCCTAGATGAAGGGACATCAACAGTGCACAATGCTGAACCTCAGGCTCCTCCTGGAAAGAGGCCGGGCCCCTATGGGGTACGCTG